TCCATTTGTAATAGAAAGAAATGCTAAATTTCAGTTTAGAGAATGGTGAAAATACGGAGAATTTTCTCACCAAGACCCCCAGTTTATGAATGTCTAGTTTAGAAAGATGCTATGCACAGCCTCCTTACATCTTTCCTGGAAGGAGAGAAGAAAACTAAGATCTATGAAATGTTAAATGAGGGGTGCAATCCTGGGGGCTCACAGGAAGGCGGAGCTCACGGAGGCCCGTGTGGAGGAAGTGGCATCTGAGCTGGGCTTTCATGGGTTGCTAGGACTCGGCCGTGCAACAACTAGGGTGGGAAGAGATCTTCCAGAAGAGGAGTAGCAGAGGGAACCGGCCTGGGTGTGCCCAGTTTGGCAGGAAGGCGGGTAATGAGTTCCATACGTTGGTTTCCACACGGATCACTACTTGATCATGACTGCCGCTTGTTTGCCAAGACCCAGGAACAGTTTGGAGGCTCAGGCATCCGCGCCACCCTGCTCCAGGGCTTGGCGGCTGGGCTGCCTGGGCTTGCCGAGTCCACAGACCCGCCTGATTCTGGAGGAGTGAGGGGTGCCGCTGGGAGTGTTTATGGACAAGTCCCAGCTAACGTTCTGCTTCCCACCCCCGAGCCTGTTCAGGAAGATCTGCTTCCCTAGGAAGGCGTAGAGATGTGATTTGTCAAGATGGTGGTGTTTGAATAATTCATTTCCATTATCGAAGCTTTAAGTTTGCCCCACGTATTCATTCTTTTTGAAATGAATTGGCTCTTAAGGGGAAAAGGTAACTGGCACTTTTGAGGTCTGCAGGAGCATGTTCACACCTGCATCTCACTCTGCCTTTGCGGGAACTATGTCACGAAGAAGGGGAAATGGAATTCCGACAGGTTACACATCTTGCCAGAGGTCATATAGCCAGTCCTGTGGAGCAGGCAGGATTGAAACCCAGAAAGTGCAACCCGAAAATAATCCTAAACCTCATATATGAACCCGTTTATCAGGCTGCAGTATTGCTTGGAAGAAGAAAAAAAAAAAGGTCAAACAGAAACAAAAACAAATGAGCAAAAGCAGTCATTACAAATGGGAGTAATTGGGGCGCCTGGGTGGCGCAGTCGGTTAAGCGTCCGACTTCAGCCAGGTCACGATCTTGCGGTCTGTGAGTTCGAGCCCCGCGTCAGGCTCTGGGCTGACGGCTCAGAGCCTGGAGCCTGTTTCCGATTCTCTGTCTCCCTCTCTCTCTGACCCTCCCCCATTCATGCTCTGTCTCTCCCTGTCCCAAAAATAAATAAACGTTGAAAAAAAATTAAAAAAAAAAACAAATGGGAGTAATTAGCTAGTCATTCCTAGCCTGGCTTTGCATCTATGAAATTGAAACGGGATCCACGCCATGTCCCACGGTAGCACTTAATGGTTCTGATGTACTTGAAAATGTTGAATTTGTATTTATTTCAAAACAGAGAAAATTTGACAAGCAATTTAATGAGGCTTATAACAAAAGCTGGGACTTCTGTGTCCCACCTGCTGCAGATTCTTGCTCCCATAGACCACCAGTGTCAACTTTTACCTGTTACTTTTAGCATTTGCCTCCTCATCCCTAAAGCACATGCTCACAGGCCTTGAACATCTGTGTGCATGTTTGTGCTCCAGTTTCTGGAGACTTAAATTCTTTATCACTTCTCTTTGGTGTTGAATTCTTTGTTGCTTGGGTCCCAGGTCTTCTATCCCCTTCATTGATTTACCTCTTTATTTTTGGAAAGTATACGTCCTGGGGGCTTCCTGAGAATAGATGCGAAAGTGCCTGCTAAGGTCTTTGCTCAAGCTTTGACACTGACAGTTTGGCTGGGTATGGAAATCTAGAATGGGAAATCCTTTGCCCTCAGAAAGCCTGGCTCCATTGTCTTCTAGCTGCCAATCCCATGTTACCATGCTGCTCCCTCCCATCCCTTCCTGCCTGGGGATGAGCAGCCTCCAATCTGACTCCCTCAACTCTCCTGGCACCGAAGGCCCTGGTCTTTTAAAAATCTCTCCTGTCCCCCTTCCCTGCCCCTTTCTGCTTATGTGCCCATCCTCCTGATTCTGCCTCACAGAAGCCCAGAAACTGGAGGCGTGGGGCACATATGCTGGAAAAACCCACAGGCTAATCAAATGTGTCCCCTTTACAAACGTTACACCCCAAAGTCCGTGCTCTTTTCCCTCTCTCCCAATGCATTTTTCCTGGAGAGGAGACAGACTTCCGCCAGAATCACATGGACCAAGGGAACTCCATTGGAAGCAGCTTTCCAACAGATTCATAAATGCTTGCCCCACACCTCCTAGGGAAGCACAGTCTTCAAAAATGGCAGCGGCATCTCATTGTATGTAAATAAAGGTTAAGTCACAATAAAGAACACCCCCAAGGAACAACATGGAAAGAACTAACAACCTGATAAAAAGTAGTATCATAGAATAAAGACCCCAAACACTTCCCCCACAGAAACGTAAGGGGGCCGTTCTTCCTTTCTCTCACCTTCTCAGAGTGTGGACACAGCCCATTGGACACACGTGCTGGGGCTTTTGGTTGTGGGGGTGGGGGGAGGATGGTTACAATCTGTACAAGGTAGGGGGACGGGGGGGGGGCGGCAGCCGGTGATGCCAGCCACTTGGCCAGCCCAATCTTGCTTCCTCTTCTGCTGGGTCTCTTAGCATCTGTCAACCCCGCCGTACAGCAAGGTGACCGCCTGGTGTCATTCCTGTCAGGCTGCCCGGTGCGAAAGCGCCCCCCTCATGTTTGGCAAGTCCCCAACGTAGGAGTCTCACTAGAAGCCCCTTGCCCAGGTTGTACCAATCAGAAGCCTGGCCCTGCCCTTGAACAGAGAGCCACAGGCTGGGGAAGCAGCTGCACGATGGAGTGTGCGACCCTCGCAGCAGCTGGCATCAGGTTACAAGGTAGGAGGGAGATCTCATTTTTACAAATACAGAAATATTTTGTATTTTTTTGGAGTATGTGTTTTGGCATGTGTTATCCTTAAAAAATTTTTATTGTGAAATATTTACACACGAGCATATGAAACATATATGCACAGCATAAGAAGTGATAAAGCAAACATCCTTGTAACCACCACCCAGATCAAGAAGCAGAATGTTTTAAGTAATAAAATGACAGTTGCCTTAGGTCCCAGCAACCCTACTTCCAGAAACACAAACAAATAAATGTCCAGGGATCCTTCGGGGAAGCATCTTCTGAGTAGGAAAACCAGAAGCAAAGGAAGCCAACACTGTTCTGTTGCCTATACGTATCAGTGCACTTAATCCCCACACCCTGTGTTGGGACGACGGGGGCTGAGGCTGCGCCCAGATGGCGGGGGCGAGGAGGGAATAGTCGGCCTGACTCCAGGTTGATACATTTTGGCCTTCTGTATAAAAAGAAAATCTTCCAGTGCTAGTTATTTTTCCATTGAGGAACTCCACTGAGAATTTAGCCTACATTCGTAGCCATGGATATGGCCAAAGCTTCCTGCTCAAAAATATTCACCGTGGCCAAAATTTTTACAGCCCCAAATAAAACAACATGAATGTCCCATACAGGGTCCCCGGGGCTACCCAAAAGCAGAGCATTCTCACGAAACCGTTCACGAGCGGAAACGGCACGCGGCAGACTACCCCTGGCTTTCGCAAATTTGAGGTTCTGCCACTTTGCTGTATGAAAAACCTACCTTAGTACCTGTTTTCAGGTAACTGAAGAAAGCCGAAACCATGCTAATATAGGTCTTTAATAAAAGAAGTGGAGGGGCACCTGGGTGGCTCCGTCGGCTGAGCGTCCGACTTCGGCTCAGGTCGTGATCTTGCAGATCACAGGCTCGAGCCCCGCGTTGGGCTCTGTGCTGACAGCTCGGAGACTGGAGCCTGCTTCGGATTCTGTGTCTCCCTCGCTCTCTGACCCTCCCCCATTCATGCTCTCTGTCTCAAAAATAAATAAACATTAGGGGCACCTGGGTGGCTCAGGCAGTTAAGCGTCCGACTTCGGCTCAGGTCATGATCTCGAGGTCCATGAGTTCAAGCCCCGCGTCAGGCTCTGTGCTGACACCTCAGAGCCTGGAGCCTGTTTCAGATTCTGTATCTCTCTCTCTCTCTCTGACCGTCCCCCGTTCATGCTCTGTCTCTCTCTGTCTCAAAAATAAATAAACGCTAATAAATAAATAAATAAACAAACAAACATTAAAAAATAAAATAAAATAGAAAAATTACAAAGACTGTTTATATGGTAATCATTCAGGGAAAAATTTTAATACCGTGAAAAATGCTTGTGCTGAGTAAAAAAGGCAAAAAAACACCCCACCCCAATTGTTTACAAAATGTAATCACAAGGATATACAAAAGAGACTAAGATATGCCAAAATGTTACGAGAAGAGAGAGAAGGAGGTAAAAATCGCTTTTCTCTAGGTTTTCTCCAGGAATTGGTTGTGCCTTGCCCCCCACCCCAGGCCCCGTCCCTTTGGTCTACATGACATTCAAGGGAGGTGAGCTGCAGCGAAGTGTGTTGTTGTGCCTCCTGTGCGGCGAGGTCCGGACCGCACACACTCTCCAGCAGGAACAGGGGCCCATGGGCGCCACACTAGCCTCTGAGGCCCAGGCGGCACCTCAGCTGGGCCCCGCGGCCTCTTCCTGGAGTCCCGGAGGGAGCTTGGCCTCAGGCCGATGGCACAGGGTCAAAGTCCTACCCTCCAGGAGCCAGAAGACGGGGTAGAGGGGCTGGGTGAAAATGGCGTGGAAGGTATGTAGGGGCTGGGCCTTGGGCTCCAGGCTGTAGAAGGTGAGGCGGCCAGAGGCCAGGTCCAAATCCATGCCCAGGAGCCGCCCGGACACCCCTGGGAGGCGCCGGGCCTCCCCGTTGTGCCAGGCCTGGGCCCTGTCCTCCTGAACACAGAGCCCCCAGGAGCTAGGCCCACGCCCAATGTTGTCTGTGTGGGGCCCTTGCTTGTGCCGTGAAAGTTCTGGATAGGCGACGCCCAGCGTCACTGAGTGATTAGACGTGCGCACCTCCCAGTAGTGTCGACCGTTCCGGAAGCTCTGGGCACATTGCACCTGCCAGAGCTGGAAGCTGCGTGGCCCGGCCAGGTCCCGGGGCTTGTGACGGTGCTTTACCTGCTGGCCCTGCTGAGACAGGTAGAGGTGGCAATTGGCGCTGTCTGGGTCGAAGGTCAGATTGCGATAATCTGTCAGGGACAGATGGATGGGAGGTGAGCGGGGAGGTGTCTGTCTGCCATTCTGTCCCCGGAGGGGAAATGGCAACTGAAGCTTCCCCAACGCACACCAAGCGTCTGCCAGGCACACAGCCAGCGGAGCAGGCACTGGGCACCAGTGCGGGAGTCTGTCCTCGCCACAGCCCTGGGTGGAAACTTCTATGCACCTCATTTCAAAGATGAGGAAACTGAGGCTCCCGGAAGTAACCTAACTTGGTAACAAGTGGAAGAATCATAACTGATCCCAGGTTTGCATGCCCAGAAATCTCCGTATCCCTGTACTGGCTCCACATGTAGGAAGTTTACTTCCTACGACAGGTGTGGGTGGTGGGCACAGACCCAAGGAAGGGCAGGGAACAGACCCCCTGGACAGGGCAGTCACAGCACGTGCCCCCTCCACATACTCACACAGACGTGCACACATGCTCACGTGTACTCATGTGGTGTACACACGGTTGCACAACGCACACACGCCTATGCACACACACCCGTGCCGGTCTCCTTACTCTGCCAGAGTTTCCTCCTCAGTGGGCAAACCGGGCTTGGGACTGGTGCCAGGGGACCTGGGGCCTCTAGGAGGCAAAGAAGTGTTAGGGCAGTGACGGGGAGAGAGCTCATGGGGGGCAGGGTCCTGACCCCACTCCCACCTGCTGTGGGAGGGCCAGCTGGGCCCGGAGGGGTAGAGAGAGATCTGGGGTCAGCCTTACCCACGGGGCCCAAATCAGCAGCCTCAGCCGGTGCCCTGGGGTGGCTCTCCTCATCCAGGAGGAGACCATACAGCCGGCTCAGTGACTCCACGCCAGCCAGCTGCTGTTCTTCGTCCCACTGCAGAGGAGCCAGGGGCCCAAGAGGGCCTGGGGGTGCCAGGAGCTGTGATTCCTGAGCCCCAGGGACAGTTGCAGTAAGCCTGTGCACGAGGTGCAGGGTCACTGGTCGACCTGTGCAGGGTCAACCAGCGACCTGTGCACGAGGTGCACCTGTCGCCCCGAGACCCGGTACCTGGAGGAAGGTCTGGTCATCCAACTGCTCCAGGAGGTCCCGGACCCTGCGGTCGTAGTGAGCCAGGGCTTCCAGGTGGCCCCGCAGTCGCCGTTCTTCATCCTGGGCCTGTGTTAGTGCCTGTGTCTTGGCCACCTCGATGTCCGTCAGTGCCAAGGTCCGCCGCATCTCCAGGGCCTGCAGCAGGCAGCTGAATTTGCTGGAGACCACGGAGGCCAGGGTGCAGGCCGAGCTCTGAGTGGGCAAAGGAGTCGCCTAGGGTGGCTGGGGCCAAGGCTGCCCCCTGGACTGCGGGGTGGTGTGGGGAGCCAGGGCCCCTGGAACCGTTCTTCCCCCCCCAACCCCCGCTCAGCCCCTCCCTCCCTGCTGCCAGGAGGCATTTCCAAGGTAGCTCACACCTGCTACCCAGTGTCCCAGGGATCCACTGGTGGCTGCCTGAAGGGCACGGCATGAGGAGGTAGTGAGGTAGAACAGACGGGCCTCGTACCTGGACCTGGCTGCTTTGCTCCTGCAGTTCCTTTAGCTGGCTCTCAGCCTCGGTGGCCTGCTGCTGGGTGACCTCCAGCATGGCTCTCAGCTGGGCCTGTGGTGCCCACAGTGGGAACAAGTGACAAGAAGAAGCCAGTTAGTCAACAAACATCTGTAGATGCGGGGCGTCCCCTCCCAGGGCCACCCCCAGCAAGGCAGACCAGTGGGCCAGCACACAGAGCACCAGCCTCGGTCTCAGCACCCCGGGTGAACTGGGTTAGTGTCCCAGGGAGATCTGGACAAAGCCCGTTCCCAACCTGGAGCAGGGAGGTACACAGGCAGAGCAGAGGCCTTTGGATTTACACCTGACCTCCAGTCCCTCTTGCAAGCTGAGCAACCTGGGGCAGAGCGCCCAATGTCTCTGGGCTGTAAACCCACCCCCAGGTAATAAATGGTGGGAGCGGAACTTCTGGCTTCGGCTCAAAGCACCAAAGCTATTTGGGAAGTGGGTGCTGTAGTGCATGCACGAGGCAGGTTCCTCCAAACACCGGCCAGTCCTCAGCCCCAGCTCTGGGCATGAGGGGAAGAGGGCACCCCTATTTGCGACTCCTCTGGTACCCTTGAGGGTAGAACATCGTGCTTTCACGGAAACGGGACAAAGCACCATTCCCTGCCCTTGCTCAAGAGCCTGTCTTGCTTCTCCTTCTCTTGGCCACACTTTATGAGGCAGGAACCATCATGATCCCCACTTCAAAGATGAGGAAATGGGACAGAGAAATTGATAATTTGGCCAAAGCCATCAGATCTTCCTAAGCCCGATGCCTGTGTCTTTGTCCAGGACCCTTGGCCTCCAGCGTTCCATCATATGCTGCATGCAGAAAGGGGGGGGGGACCTCTTCTGGTTCCACCTGAGTCTCCCCCAGGGACGGGCATCTGTCCTTCTCACACCCCGCATCACTTCCCTCTAGCAAAACACGGCCCCTTAGGCATGTGTGTGCCACCTGGCCACCTGGTGGTACCACCTGCCACTCCCTCCTTGTTGTCATCTGCTGGCCTTCACTGCAAACTTCTGAGCTCAGAGCCTCAGCAGGAGCATTCTATTCTCTGTGACTTCAGCAGCCACGGGGTTTATCCTCCAACACTCCAGCGCTTGGACCCTTGGCGTCCTCACCACTTTCTTCACTCCGTTTCAGCCACTCAGTCCTGGGGCCTCACCCTGGGCCTGTCACCAGCTCTGAAATCTCTATTTCAAGCACCTGTTTTCTCCTTCTATCCGGGACCACAAACATCCCAAAGCCGCCTCCTGCTTAAGCTGCCTGCCCCAGCCTAGGCGCCTAAAGACAGGGCAGGGCACTCCGGTGTCACCTCGCGTTCCCGACGCTC